GGTGGTGACAAGGACCGACAATACTCACAGCGAAACCGAAACATGCCTGCAATACACCCTCGTTGCATTTACCCCTTTTTCACACTGGATCGAAGGAGGTTACCCCCAAGTCCTCAGTGTGTCCCATCCTCCAGTGCATAACGCACAAACCCTCAGGGGGGAACGTTGCTGCTGTTTTCCTTACAAAAGGGACGTAAGTGCGATGAGACGGCTGGAGTAACCCCGCGAGTGGCTCGCCCTTTTGTCGTGGTCTGAATAGAAGAGGCCATCCACTCTCCCCCCGTCGCCCGCGGCCGCCATGATCATCCGGCCATTAAATCAACAAAACTGCCCCTGTCAATGGTCATTAAATCAACAACAAAAAAATCGAACTATAGCCCCTCTGAATTGGAGGGAAGCATGGCGGTTTTATGAAGAGAGATACAACGGTGTGTCGACCGGGTAAAGTTAATCATGTTTTGACTGTGGGGCCGTGCGTCCATTCATCTCGCACACTGGCGTGTTTATAACAACATCATTTCCCTTCCTTACACCTTCGACTCTCTCTCTCTCTCTCTCTCTCTCTCTCTCTCCCTCACTCTCTCTCACTCTCCCACACTCTCTCGTTCATGGTAACGCACCATCAGACCATGAGTATGTCGTAGAAGTCTCTCTTCTTTTCTATACATTTCTATACAGCCTTTTTAAGTTTCGTATGGTCGTCTCAAAAGAACGATTGTCTTCGATCTCGAACAATGCGTGCCATCACCTCGGTTTATAATTTTATTTTTCTGGCCCCCTGAGCGACACGAAAATATTTTTGTTGGCCAGACTGAAAGTTTTATGCGCTTGTTGGTCGTTTTGTTTTTCTTAAGGTGGTTTTGGGGGCAATTGTGTTGTCGGTGATGTGTTTATGTGTTTCTTTGTCTGATTGCTTGTGTGAATATGATGAGCTCATGGGCACGAGAGTTTTACACAGCTTTAGAAATTTCGAGAACGTCGCGTGTTTTAAGCCTGAAAGACAGTACCCC